AAAATAAATATTAGAAGGCTTTTTTTGTGTCTCCTTCTCTCTTTACTTATTTCCTTTTTTTTTCCCTTTCTTTTTTTTTATTTTGTTGCTTTTTTTTTTTTTTTTTTATTCAGTTGTTTTCTTTTTTCCACCGTATTTACTTACACCAAGTACATAGCTAATAAATTAATCTAATTGCGATTTTTTAAACACAGGAATACACCTGATGCCGCTATGGCATCTACAGAAAACAAGACAGAAACCAAAAAGGTAATCCGTGTTTACACATCAGATACAGTATAGCAACTTAGAACGATAGATTATGGTCATATGAGGTATCCAAAACGTTAGCTCTGCGACAATTTTAAGACCTTGAAGTAAACAACGAACAGACAAGCTTACTATAAGTTAGTGTTAATCTCTCTTTAACGCCATGTCCGAGGTTCATTCATTACAGAAACGCGCCCATTCAAAAATGTCGATCGTGAAAATGCAAATAAGTGAAAAATGACGTCAATTTAGTGTCAATCAAGAAATCTCCTGGGTATATCCCTTTCCTGGTTATTGTTCCGGCTCAGACATCCGCAACATTTGCCTATTCTTTGATGAAGAATAGAACTTCACGCGACTAACAATAGCTCAGTCTGTTTAAAAACAGTCTAAACGTACTCCGAATTAGCATGTGACTTTTTGCTGTTAAACGCGTCAAAATTGAAAAATCCTCGGATCGTTGTTGTTGATTTTGCCGTAAATAATTCAATGCACTGACTGAATCTCGTCCAAAGAACGATGGATTACTTTAGTAATAATAAATGAATAAGTATCACTTTCCACTACGTTTTTGGAATAATTGCAGGGGACGGTAGAGATGGGTTGTCTTCATAGCGCAGGTAATAACTATGAAGAGGACGATGATGGTTACAACACTCTTAGAATTAACAAAAATGGACTGGGTAAGTTAAAGTTGTTAAATCATTGCAGATGCGTGCAAATAGGGTTCCTTTTTCACAAGTTATCATAGTTTCTTCGGCTTCCAGATGCTAGGTTCCACGTTCAACCAATGTTTTCTTTTTTTTCAAAACGCATCTGCTGTTACTTTGCAGTTTTAAGGAGTTTAATCACCTTTATTGGGCTCCTTGATTATTCATAAGTCTTTTGTGTTGGCCATTTTGCCCCCAGAAATTTACGCATCGACCTACCGCCTGGTTAAAGACCCGACTGCTGATTCTGGGAACGTATACGCCCCACTGAACATCCCTGATGGCCAGAATATCTATGGGCATAAACCTATTAAACCAGATTACAATATGCTGCAAAATTCAGAAGCCCCTTTACAAAACGGTCCAGTAAGCATCGAACAACCTGTTTACAATACCCTAGAGGAGTTACCAATTATTCCCGCGTACATCACTTACGGCAAAAAACCTGTTTATAACGTACTGGAAGCACCTGGTCAACTTGGCGATGCACAAAGCTCTGGTGATTATGGTTCCGTCCCATCAGAAGGACAAATTTACAACACGTTGGAGGATCCCAAGTATTCTGAAGTCCCTTATGCAAAGGGCACAAATGAGCCGATTTACAACGTTCTTGAGGACAACCATCATCACAGCGCGTAGTCAGTTAAATTCTGGGATATGCGGGTGTTTTTTTTTTTCTTTTCGCTTGAGGAGAGCAATTGAGTTAAGGCAGGTCTTTTGGCTGAAATGCAATATCACTTTTAAACAATTTATTGATCCCAAAATGGGCAGCGCAGCAAAAAGTTCTCAAATACTTGGGGACATAACGCGAGTAGCAAAGGAGCATAATTATGTGGTCCCCTAAATCTGGAATTTCTAAAATGAAAGCAATACCGTGTTACGCTTATGAGAAAACCTTATTCTAGATATAGGATATCACTGTGTATGTTTACACGTATTGTACGTGCTACCTAGGTGACAATGTCAACATTTAAATAATATGCTATCATGACCTGTTTTTCTTTAAATATGAGTAAAATTTGATGAGATAAAAACACAATTTCATAAATATATGCAATTATTCCATTACGTGTTAAGCATGCGATGACGATTGATTATGAACATCACATCGAAATTTAAATTAAGAGGTACGACCTTTTTTACGAGGAAAAAGATCCATGGCAGATGCTTTCCTTTGTGTTGGTATTTCTTTTAGCCCAACTTGTATACTTTTTCTTTTTACATGAGCATACTCAAAATAGTAAGCGTATTGGGCGCGCTGTCGTGTAAGATAAAGTCATTGGTATCGCCATTAAATATAGAGGTTGAGTACTCAATTGTATCTTCACATTCCTACCCACTAGTAGTGCTCACAATCAATATGTGTTTTATCAGGCCAAAAAAATCGAAAAGCAGTCGATCATGGACACCGTATTGTTCACGTAGAAAGTTAAGTTATTCAAAGCTTCATTTGGAGAGCCTTTCGCACCGACAACGTTTTCCATGAAGAACTAGATCATCGCCACCCTTTTCCTGGGTTTAACTACCGACAAAGATACGAAGGCCTGTTAAGCTAACACTTCAGAGTGTCCTTTTTAGTGTCTGTGCCTTGGATTGAGGAAAACGTTCCATTTAAAACAGAAAATCGAGGTGAATTCAATAACTTAAGTAGCAAACAGCGACTTAGTTGCCTTTGATCGAATTGAAAGATTGGCTGCTTGACAAAACCGAGTGGAAACCATGTTTTGGGTTTGGGCAATTGTGATGTTTAAGTTCTGCATTGACTCGACGCGTTCACAAACTTTGGACATTACTAGACTCAACAGTAGTTTGGATACTTTTAATGTTCCACCTTCAATATGCAGTAATCCTAGCACCGCATGCAGCTCCTACAATGCTGTAGGTTCTACTTGTTCCTGCTCATGTGCTGCTAACAGGTCAACGTTCACATTTTTCAACAACCAATGGCAGTGTTTGACAAACGCAGCAGCGAGAAAACATTTCCAAACAGGTAAGCGAATGACAATTTTAGCCCTTTCCCTTCGCATTTGCGGCCAAAATACAGGTGATTGAGAGTGACTCAAAGAGAGGGTTTTAGGAGTGATTGTAAGGAATTAAGTATTTATAGCGACGTTTGATTGGCTAAACCGAACGTTCTTTTAAACGGAAAAGGCCTTTTTTTTTAGAGAAAGTGGTTGCTTTCTCGTCTCTGATGGTAATTCTAAATTAGAAACGCTCGAAGTGCGCAATGCATAGACATCAATACGCATTAAAAAATTTTGACGATTAAGCACCAAACTGCAAATCCTTGTACTGTGGTCCACACGTTTATCAAATAAATCGAGAGTTTACCATCATCGCAAAGGCAAATTAAAAAAAAGGAAAAAAATTCGTCGGGGTCGTTGTGTCAAAAAGCTGTCTTAAAAAATGTATGGAATGATCAGGCGATATGCACTTGAAATCACCAGCTGTTCAATATTCTGTTTATTCGGATCATAGCAGCAAAGGATAAACAAAACCTCCAAACCCATAATCTAATGTGAACGTCGTCTCTAAATAATTGGTTATAAATTGAAGATGGGTTTTACAATTAAGCAACACGCATAATACATCCTTTGTGTTAAAACCAATAACCTTTTTGAAATAATTTAATTAACAAATAGACCTTTCCACATTGAAGCCGGGGGTCGTGAAATTGTATTTTTTTTGCACGGTACGAAGGCAATTTATTGAGGATAACGTGTTTTTATGATTCTGATTCCTCATGGTACACTCAGTGAAATAGGTTGTATATTAAAAGTCTACATGCATCTACAAAAAAATTTTGTTTTTTCTGCTTCTTGATTTTGCAGAGAAACCGGAGTAAATATCGCGACAAATATTGTTAAAAACGCTAGATGATTTGGCTGTTACACAATATAACTGACAATTATATCAGTCGACTGTGAACTGAACCCTTTTCATTTAAAAGATTTACTCTGACAAAGCTAGAAAGGCAAAATGATACGTGGAAATCTCTACGATCATTACAAATTGAAGGCAGTTGACGCTACAAAAACTGCCAAGTAACTTGAATAGTCGATAAGAACTTTTAATTTTGCCAATAAATTTTTGGTCCAATGGAAATGGAAATCCTTCAAGAGAATAAAGGGACAGTTAATGAACGTTAATGTATTTTCATTAATTTCAATATTTCACGTTATTAGAGCAAGATGTGTAAGTAATTGTCCCATTCCTCCATTTTTAACTTTTTATAACGTGAATTCGTTTTGTGTAGCAGCAATCAATTGATAAATAGTGTCAAGATGGATATTTTAACGCACGAAAGATACTGTCAGTGTCTTTAATTAGTGGCTCAGTTAAACTTCAATTCCTACTGAAAGTTTGACTTTCTTAATCATTCACACTCCTTAGGCTGCGATGGGGCGACTACATTCTCCGGTGAAAATAGAGATGGGCGTTTACCAACATTAGCCATTGGCCAGAGGAGGGAAATTTCGTTGGAGTACTGGCTTTGGCAAGCGTGGACATGTTCTTTGTATTTGCCATCTTCATGGTTTATGGGATGTGATGGTTCTAAATATCTGTTTAGGAATCAGGTATATAACGCTTCTGCCCGACTCTTTTCAATTACGAGGAGTTCGCCGACTGCTCCATATATCCTTCAGGTATGAACATGAGTCAAATGTAATGGAGATATATAATACATATATTTAGTATATACTAAAACAGTGGATAGTGTTTTTCGGGCGCTCTGATTGGCTAATCAATCAGTGAATATCCTGCACTATTCACTGATTCACCTCCAGTTCCTCCGAGCGAGCGACGCCAAACTCGCGTAGGTTGCGAGCAAAATGCTTTCCCGGTTTGCTGCCGTAACAAACTAAGAAATTTCACAACTAATCAAGCAAGCTATTTCCGAAATACATGAAGAAGGTAATGAAGTTCGGTTTGGAAGTTTTAACAGGTAAAGCTTTAATTTGTCTTTTTTACTTGAATAGTTATCCATAAAACCGGTGAAAAAAATTTGTTTACAAATGCAAATTAAGCTTAAGTCTTGCGTTATTTTATTTAGTTGACTTGTTCATAAATAAGCTTAAAACTAAATTTAATAATCTTTTTTACAGAATTATTTTAAATACAAACAGAATTCACAACTCCTTTTGAAGAAACTTCCCCGCAAGAGCTTAACAAACGCCTTCAAAAGCTTTATTTGTCGCTAAGGAAAAGCGACGACCGCGGCCGTTCGGTCATCTCGCGCCAAAATTGTAATCGTTGACAACAGTAAATGAGTTAAACATCATTATTTTGTGCTCAAATATCTCACTGTTTTAGTATATACTAAAACAATTTTTCACCTCAGTGTCGGTGGCTGGTGGTGGATATATATATACCTCGCCGCTTCGCAGCCTCGGTAAATATCCAATACTAGCCACCTCCACTTCGGTGAATAATAGTTATATATATATATCTACGTTGATTTTTCTGAAAATGTTTCAAAGTACTCAGGATATTTTTTCTACAGGCGAGAAGAAACTCTCTGCGTGTCCGAAGTTGTTTATTTACCCGAATAAATCCAACCTTGGAAGTGAATTTTTAGTGGCAAATCTTTTTTTTTTTTTTTTTTTTTAAGGTAAACTCAGGTGTTCAAGATAGTCATTTACTGAAGGGAAAAGTCATCAACCTGGTCATGGGCTGCGCCGCAACATGGCTTGGAAACACCATTGTAAATTTGAGGAACTGCTTGGTGTTCAAATTGGAAGGGACAGAAACTTGTAAGCTTGTTTCTCATTTCTAACATACGCTTTGCCAATATGGATTGCACTTAAATGTGTAACCAAATCGTCTTCCTGGGCATTAGTTAGTGTTCCTAAATATACAACTTCATTTTTCAATATTCAAAAAATTGGTAGGAAAAAAGGACTTAAGACCCTACTTGTAATAACTGTTAAGGTCTACTATTCGCTCTACTTTGATGTGAAAACAAGAGCAATATCAAGTAGCACATACAAGAACGTCCCTCAATTATCTTGAGATCCGTTAACTAATACTTTCCTTGCTACTCTTAATTGTAATTGTTGAATTTGTATTTTTTTTCCATGTAAGCTTTGCAATTTTGTTAAAAAAAAAAAAAAAAACGCTTTATCCGCCGGCATGTCTATGATATACTATCGTTTACGTTTAATGTCCTGTAAATGTTTGTTTATATTCGGCAGCAATGTGACAGTTTATTTCAAAACACGCTTTTATCATTTTATCAGGTCGTGTTAACAAGCCATCAAACTCTACAAATCCTTCGAGCTATGTGGCATCGTTATCAATGCCACGCATGGAAACACAGACACCAATCATCTCGTCGAGCGCTTCCATGGCAACACCCCTCACAGTCCTTGGTACTACACTGGCATCCTATTCATCTGTAACATCACTGACTACTTCTCATGCTACGTCGGTGATTCCCACGACCTCGCCCATCACTTCGAATTGGTCATCCACAAGCACTATAGTAACAGCTCTCCATACTTCATCCACAGCCTTTAAGTCTTCACCAGAAACTTCCAGTACTCCACTGGGAATCTCAACCTCTGAGATTACACCGAGGGCCTCGCCTAGTTCCATGAGGGCTATTGTCACTTCAGTGAAAGCCTCACATGCCTGGCCGACAGTGTCCATTAGTTCTTTGCAGTCCTCTACTGTGACACCCATAGTATCCAGTATTTTACCAACAACTTCCATGGCTTTACCGCTTACATCGATGGTGTCCGCAAGTTTACTAGCTTCACTGGTAATCTCGCATACTTCACTCGGAGTATCTCCTTCCTTTAAGCAATTCTCCATTAGATGGTCCTCTAAATCGGATGCTACAGTAAAAACAGTCTCCAGCTCAATAAAATTAGGGTCAATCAAAGCATCAACTACTTCGGTGACGCATTTGAGAGCAGCCTCAGATAAGTGGTCAACAACCCGCGGTATAACAGCGACAGTTAGCACTCTTGCAATACCTCTCGATGCCTCATCAAAAGTGACAATTGTACCTAAAGTAATTGAGGTTTCACCTACAACAAGACCTATAGAGCCAGGTGTTAATCCATCCTCCTTTGAACCAATTGTAAGTAAATGTAGACAAAGTAAAACTTAGGCTGCGTTCGATTGATCATATTCCGGAATAAGAACATGCAAAAGTCTTGTTGGAAATCTCTTTAACCGCAATTTTTAGGCACTTAAAGTCGCCATATACATCGGGATATTTCATTTCGAGCATATTTCTAGCTATTGCAAAGCGATGAACAACAAATTTAGTGTTTTTAGAGTTTATTTTTTTATTGTTATTCTGAAATACGTTCACACGAACATGCCCTTTAAACCCGGTATAAACAAGAAACCAGCAAAGACTTAACGCTAAGACAGATACTTTTTTTATCATAAAGTACTCTAATTTCCATTTTATTATCCATAAGTGTGTGTTATTTGAATTTAAATTATAGTCACAATTATTCACAACTTTATTCGTCGATCTCTCAAATCACCTATGATGGAGGACTGATCTCGCATTTATTAATTGTTTTCCCAGATTCCTCCCAACGTTAGCAGTGGGCGAAGGAGCAACAGAAACCGTTTAGTCATTGGCCTCCTTGTAGGGATAATGGCAGCCGTCATCTTAACTGTTATCGTTATTGCACTTCTCATCCAGAAACGTCGCAATTCAAGGTAATGAACCAGTGACCAAACAATGAAAATATAACGAGCATAAACAGCAGGAAAAATCAACAACCCTCGTTAACGTTATGTTGTAATGTTATTAAAAATAGATTGCAAAGGCGGGGCCCTCAAATTTTACAATATCTGTGCCATAATTAAGAGGAGATTTTTAGCGAAATCTAAGGGTAAGAGCACTCCCTTTTAAACACTGAATTTTAACTACACGACCGGAAAATACATTTAGAGGTTGGGTAATGTGCTCATTACTTGAAACCACCATTAATTTCGAGCTGGTGAACTGATAAAGTACTGGACCTTAAAAACTGCTGAAATGCACAAAACCAAAATATGTTTAGCCGTCAAACAAAAGTGTGAAAAGTTATTCTCGTTATAGCAGCTACTGTCGGGTCTTAGCTCATAGACTATTTGTTTTATCAACAGAGGTACATACCGTCCAAGATCCGTGAGTGAAGAAACCAAGGTAGGACTAGATGGAAAACTGCTTTAAATTCTGCAGACAGAAGCTTGACTTTTTACCAAGCCATTTAGTAAGAAAACTCAATACTACGAGTACTAACAGAACATAAGCAACGTTGGAGGATTTCTGGGTGGAGCCACAGTATATTTTTGGAAGTATTAAGAATAGGACATGGATATGTGCAAACGAAACTGATGTTATCTGTGTATTTTGATCAGATTTCAGTATTAATGAGCCCGCGAACAAACTCAGTGCAAGATACAGGTGAAGATGGAAGTGATCCCAACACCCTTAAACGATCACGTGAGTAACTCTTGTTGTGGTGATTTTTTATAGCCTCCATGTAATGGTACTCATCTCAGGTGACTTTCTGAATCCTTATCCTTTTTTTGTAAATTATTGCACTATTGGTCATTGTAGACATCGTATGAAACAAGAACGGTGTTGTGGACTGCCTTTGGAACCCTTTGAACCGCTACCGTAAATTTCAATCGGTATGGCGAGTAATAAGATTGCATTCTTTCCCAAAAACAGTTCTAGTACAATTCAATCCAATACGACCCAGGCTCGGACGCAACATGGCCAACTCACGGTCATCACATTCCCTAGTCCAGAAACTAAAAGGGGAATGGATACAAGCTTTTGGCGCAACGATTTATGGGATCATTGGAGGATTCAAGCGTCATTTATGATTGGTTTACGGTTGCTTTGAATACCGTCAACCAATAATTACTAACGCTTGTCCACCCAAACGATCCCAAAAATCGTTGCGCCGAAAGCTTGTACCCATTTCCCATATTATACTACTACACGAGGAATTTCTGCAATTTGATTGGCTCAGAGCAGTGGTATTTCAGCTTAATTTGAAATACCTACATGTGAAAATTACAAACCTTTTGCGGGTAGTAGTATAAACAATTAATAGCATGATTTGTACGTGATATTTGGCATAAATACCACTCGTGATATTTCAAAATTGTCTCAAATTTCACTCGCCTAACGGCTCGTGAAATTACGTATAACAATTTTGAAATATCACTCGGGGTATTTATGCCAAATATCACCACAAATCATGCTATTACCTGTACTAATTTCAGTAGAGGGAAATTGTGTGGCTCTCCATTTAACTGTAATGCTTACTGAATGTATTTCTGTCTGCTTGTCTCATACTTTTTGTTCTCCTTCTTATCTTATCCCAAGAAACGTCAGTAGTTCTATTAAATCAGAATATTACTTTTGATGTTATATGGGTTTTTGAACTGTTCGTTCCAGCCATGTACGTGCCAAACTACCGAATTCCCTTGTGGCAGGATGAACAAGACAACACCTGTGTGTATGCAGTCCTCCATTTCCCTGAAGGTGTAGATGGTAGAGTCAGGACTGGAGAGGAACCAATCTATAACGTTCTTGAAGAGCCAGCTACGAACAGTGAAGAAGGCATTAAAAATGGCCAGCTCATTGAGACGGACGAAGATGTGTTTCATGTTATTGATGACAAAACTGGCGGAGACTCCGGACCAGGCGCTTATGATAATCATATTTATGCAGAAGTAGTACGTAAACCTAAAAGACGAACAGCCATTAAAAGTAAGCGCCCTGGTAACTATTCAGAACATTCACGAGATACACTACGAAAGGCTTTGGAGCCTTATATGAGAAGCGCAGAGGAATCAGACCAAGACGACACCCCTGATACAGAAAATGCCATCTACTTCACTCTGGAGAAGTGTTTCTCGGATAGCTTTAAGGCGGCTAATAATGATTCCGCAGATGACAAAACATCCGCTGGAAAAACCTTGAAAGGACCAGATCAATACAAGGCCGTCTGCACTGAGGCATTAGTCTTCTGCACAAAGAGGTCTGGCTCTAGAAGATCCATTAACAA